CCACGCTCAGCCTCTCTAAATGACACAACACACTCAGACAGCTCTCTGAGAGGAACCACTAATTAGACTTGGTCTTTTCATAAACTCAACATGTTGATATCATCTGATCAAGCAGACATCAAAGAGGTTTTAATCACACGCCAGGCTCTGAGCACACCAAGCTGTAAATATTTAAGAAGATATCGAACTTGACTCACTCATTGACTTGAAAGAACTGAAAGTCCCAGTTTCAAACATTTTAAACACTAGATTGCACTAGAAGTTAGCATAAATCTACGAGGGCAGATTTTGTTATGTAACAGTAATAACGCTGAATCAATAATGTATTTGTTATGCATAGAAATAACCTTATTCTGGAACACCATCTGCTGGACTCATCACTGAATCTGCCCATCTTATCCGCAGAACCAACTAAATAATCTCAAATAGTTTACTATACACAATATTGAGCCCACATTAATGAATGAGTAATAATAGAGGAAAGTAAGTGTGATTGTTTTCCTCATTCTTACAAATTGGGGCGTGAATATCTTGGTAAATGAATAATAAAATATTTAATGCATGTGAAATGATAATGTCATAGGTGTTATTATCCTGTGTACAGTCAAATATTCTGTCTAATGTACGAATGTGATGAAATATTACATCATCTTATGGTGCTGAATGGATTTCACTGGACAGTAATGTGATTTTTATGTTTTCTGAAACAGAAAAACACACACACAAAAAAAAACCAATAACATCAAAATTTCTTGGGCCAAAATACATCAATTAGGTACTGATTGTGGACCTTGATCATACTCAATCCACAGTAATAAAGCTAATTTGAATTGTCTATTTATGTAATATCCTCTGACCACTGTGAGAGACGAAACTTAGCTCTTATTTTTGTAAACCTGACCCCATCATACCTCTGAGTATCCCAGGTCACGCAAGTTTGACACCCAGTGAACAAATACTTTGATAACCTCTAATCAAAGGGGCAAAAAGTCAGTAGCTCCAGGAACTGTCAAATTAAGTAACATTTTCTTCCTTTCCTTCAGCGAGGACAGTCTGTACTTGTTTCTTTACTTTACTACCAGTTAACTGGTAGCTGCCTTTGTCATTAAGAAGATGAAAGTTATTCTCACATAATGGCTACATGTGCGTGCGGGTGTTCCATATCCGGCAGACATGACTTCTGACAGCTGGAGCAACACCTGGGCCAACATGTTAAAGTAAACCACTAAAACTACACAATAGGGAAGGAAGTAAGGCTGGCCCATGACAAGATGAAAGATTTCCTGCCATCGTTCGATACTACGCCTGCAAGGTAAGCATGTGGGACTAGTGGAAGCACTCGGTTAATGCCTTATGTCACAGCAAACTATACTTTATGTAAGATAAAATAAAATAAAAGTACCCATTATACATAAAAACACCCCCTGACTGATATATTATTTAAATAAGTTAGGTAATGCTGATGCAATGATGTGTAGTATTTAGTATTTAGCAGCATTTTACTCTTGTAGCTGGTCGTTTTGAAACTAGTTTTAACTTCTTTATGTATAGTTCAGGGTTGTGCAATCACTAATGGCATAGGAAAGAAGAAAATACAAAGTTATTTTCATGACATATTCTAACCTCTTTGAGCACAAATTTGAAGTTAAGAGGGAAAGCATCTCTTTGCTGGAACTGCCAACACCTCATAGACATCTGCTTTTTTGTAAGGGACACTATTAGTTTTATCTTTAACAATGTAAAATTTTAATCTGTAAAGTAACTAGTAAGTCCCTCTGTCCTGTAAATGTAGTAAAAACCGACATTTGTCTCTAAAATGGACAAGTACACAGTAGCATTAAATTGAAATACTCAAACAAAGCACAAGTAGCTGAAAATCTGAGTGATGTTGAGCACTTTAGTAAATGTACTCAGGCAATTTCCACCCCTGAATACAACCACCGACTAGGACCCTCGGGTAACTAATCACGAGGATTCTGGGAGAAGGGCTGCTGGCTTTTTGAAAATATAATGATGAGCTGTTGACTCACTCTGAAGGAGTTTAGTTCAGAAATAATGGCAGAAATGTGCCAATAGAAACCACTGAACATAATGTAGACCAGCTAGTGCTGACATGTGCCAAGAGTTCAACCTCTTGCTAAATGTGTCAACGGCGACCTCTGCTGGCACTTTTCTTTAAGTACAGTTGGCTCCATGTCTTTCTTTTAGTGAGTTAAGTTTTGCTTTCCTGTAACATCGCCTTGCCACCCCAGTTTCTCGCCAAAGGCTGTAAAATGTAACACATTAATTTAGACTAACCTTAAAATAATTTGATTTATTGATTTCTAATGCCANNNTGTGCCACAATAATGTCATGTTTCCGGTTCAAAACATATAGGTTTTTTAAGTTAGAAGAATTATTGAGGCTTTTCTTTCAATTTGTGATCAGTATGATTCCAAGTTCAATTTCTCTCCTGTAACTGTCATTTTAGGCCTTTTATACAGATGATGAAAAGTTGGAAATGGAATAAACACACACACACTTTGGTTTAGTCCTACCAGTAAATTTATTTATAAAACTTATCAAAGAGAATCTGTATATGTGGTCATAAATATTGTAAACAGGTCCACATAAAGATTGCATTTTAGAAACAGCCCTTCCAAAAGTAAAATACTAAGACTATAAAATAAGCTACTTTTTAAAACATTTAAATGTATGTAAACATAGTTTTTTATTAATATCCTAGCTCCTCTTTTAAAAACGTTGTGAAAAGAAAACCCATCACCAAAACCAGTAAGAGTTATGATGGAATAGTGTTCACCCAGTTTGAGGTAGACATGTTGATGCTTGCACATGCTCAGCATCCTCTCTTCACTTGTACTGAACCAAGTACTCTGGATAGATTTGATTTGGATCAAAAATAACAAAAATAGTGGGACTTTTGACATCATCCACACAGCTGTCGTGAGTGTTTTCAGAACTTTGATGATCAGGTTTCTTGAACTCCTTTTCTCCAATTTTGGATTTTCCAATTATCACTCGCGCCAAAAATATTGTTTTAGTGTATTCACCGTGACCGCCCCGTGTTTCCCCGCCATACAGGGTCAACGGATCCGTGCTGCCTGCGCTGTATCTGTCCGCATATGAGGCGTGTTTTGCAAAATATATTCCTAATAAAAAAAAAGAATCTCAGATCAACTGGGGAAACTGGTGAACAGTCAGACGTAGATTACAATTATTTACATTGTACAAAGTGACACAGAGAGTTATTAATGTATCCTTTAACTTACCTTTACCAAATATGTGGCCGTGTTGTCCAGCTAACCGTAAATCAAAGTTATACTTGCAAATGTTTTCAACATTTTGGATTTCGGTCCCATGAAAGAGTCTCCTCTCCTGAATGTCTCCGACGCCTTGAATTCTCATCAGCTGTTTCTTTTTCCTTTGACACAACAGAGAGAAGGGCCAGTCTGATTACAGGGCAATGATAAAGGGAATGGAGAAAACTCAAAGACTTACCTACCTGCAATACAGTTCCCATAGGTCCAAATTCTGTATCCTGCTGATTGATACGATGGTTTTGTCCAACAGCCCATCCTTCTTCACATAATCTGCCACAGTCTGATACTCAGGGGTGAGCTCCCTCAGAGGGATTAACTGTGAAATATATTAGGAACACACATTTTTACACAGTATTAAGTTACAAGTAAATATCCCTTACTTGTTCTAATGAGTTTGTATCAAGAATTAAGGATGCCTGTTATTATGAACTTTAAGCCTCAATATCTCAAAACCACTCACATTGCAAATAAAACTCACTATTTGCCTGTTACTGAATAGTTTTCCAGTACACTTCGTCATTGTTACCTGATACGGACAGGTGGGATCCACATGTTCCCAGAACACAGGGTGAGCACTGAAGCAGGAGCAACTGTGGGAGGAAAGAGTTAATTTATTTGCATTGTGCTGCAGTGACTTTCACTTTCATTTAATCAGAAACAATACTGAAGACTGACTTATCCACGACTCACTGTTATGAGCGTGCATTATTTGTTATATTGCTGTTTTAAGCCTTATTTCACCTTCTCTCAATGTTGTACCCCTGTTTGATTTTTCTCTGCCTTCCCGTGTTGAGGTCAGTCTGTATCATTGCTGTATAGGAACACACAAGTCACGTCAACCGAGTTCTTTACAGATAAATGAGGATATAATGTGAACAAGAAAACGTAGTTGGATAACCTGAGAAATCAATCTTGCGACGACAACTGAGAGCAGAGGCGTTTAAAACCCCTTTTGAGTTTCTTTGGTAGTACCGTTCAATATCCTCACTCCTAAGGGGGTGATCAGGGTCATCCTGCAGAGTGGACAGAAAGCAACTGCAGGTTAGCTACACCAGGCATTCTGCTCTATATACATTTTTGTAAGGCAATGGACTGTGAAATATAAAAATGTTCAAAAAAAGTTTACCTCAAACCTGTGCCACCTTCCACAGTCTGCCAGGTAATACCAAGACCACAGGACGTCTGACGTGTCCATGTCTTCCATTTCTTCCTCGATCCACATTGTCCTGACAGACTGAAATTAAATAGATTATATCACAAAAGAAGCTAAATAAATGCGTTTTAAAGCTATCCTTCCTCCCTCAGATTCCCTAAGGTAGCTATTAAAGTTGACACTGCTGTTCCTGGTTCATTTGAATGAAATGTACTCAACAGCCACTCCTCTGAGGGAGGCCGGCTTTACTCACCAAACACTAACGGGAGGGCATGTCACAATGCCACCAGCACACATTTCTCATTAGTCTTCTAAAAGAGATAATTAAACACAATTACTTTTAAAAGTTTATTAGCTGTAACATTTGCAAATTACAGACACACACACAGTTTCATACACACTTACACTCACCACACTGCTGCATCCATTGCACTTTTGCACCACCTTGTGGCAAACTTAGTACACTGCTTTATTATTCTCCTCGCTCAAACACACACACAGCAAAGCAATATTACATTGTGTGGTTACTTTCCATTACAGTACTATACATGTGCTGGCTACATTCTTTTTTGTTGATAAATTTACACAGGTGCAAAGATGACCTGTGTAATCCTCTAAAGAAAGACGTTAGCAAGTGGTGACGTCGCACTCGGATGGTTTTTTAAGCCAAATGTGATGCTGAAACGGATCCTATTCTGGTTTCGGGTTGAACCACGAAATCCAACCTCAGTCATTGTTAAGTCTTTTAAAGACTGAAGTCAAGAGTCAGAAAAGATGCACAAGGAAAGAACATATTGCTCAGGGACCACAAGTGAACATGACATCACAACTTTATGTCATTGTGACACAAATACAAAACCTTTCATGGAAAGGGGGGAAAGTGCACTGATGCATGGTTCAAAAAAAATGTAGAGGTAGAAGCGTTTTTTGAATAAAAACAAAACCAAAACCCATGCCTACGTAATACATCGTACTAGGTACACACAGATGTGGATGTTCACTGACTGATGGATCACGGTGCTATATGAGTGAGCAGGAACGTGTTGTGGTTTTTGGCTTCGTTATTTGGATTCATGACAACATGACTTGTAAATAAGCTCATGCGTGGCACTGTGGATGTGAAGGAAGGGCTGTTGCCGATGGCGGGACATCACCTATATAACCTACAGGCTGCAAGTGCCACTCTTATTTTAAACAACTGTGCACAGATATTGAACAAGCAAGCACAGAATCTGCAATTAATACAAAATTACCACAAAGACTGGTCTTTAGTCATTATTTTCATCCTTTTTTTTTTTTTTTAACGTGAGAGAGACAGCCCATCTTAGAATATACTGTACAGTATACAAAGTGTACACAAAGCCTTTACTGTCTTCTTTGTTTTCCGATTTCCCCAAAGGCACTTTAGATATCTCATGCCCCAGTTAGGCACTGGATCTGACTGAAAGAAAAAGCAATTGTCCCTTAAGCGTTTTCCATTTCGTCCGTCATCTGATTCTGTATCCAAAATGTTTCCATTTTTGAGATCCAGCCTCTATTAAAAAAAAAGTACATATCTCCGTTTCAGGCTTCAGTAGAACTCGATCAGATACTCTGGGTAAATCTGATTACTGTCAAAAATGACATAAATCTTTGGATTGGCCATATCGTCCACACAGCTGTCATAAAAGTTGGTGAAGCTGGCGTCCTTGGAGGGCGGTCTGCAGTACATGGGGTGTCCGACAGTGTACTCTCCAACGAGCACTCTGGCCAGGAACATGGTCTTGTAGGGAGGCTCGCTAGCAAATATTGGTGGGGCGAGTCCGTGTCTCTGCAGGGTGGTGTTGTGCTTCCCTGTGGTGTGACAGAATTTACTGGAGTATTTGGCATCCCGGGCAAAGTAGCTCCCTGCAGGAAGGAAAATTGAATGAAATGTTAAAGTCCGGCCCCCCCAAAAAATGTGCAGTGAATTCTTTCATGATGCTGCATCACAACACTGAAAGATCTACCTTTGCCATAGACATCGCCATGGCTTCCTGTCAGCCGCCAGTCAAAGTTAAATGTACATATAGCTTGTATGTTGCTGTGTCCTGTGCCGTGAAACAGCATTCGTTCCTCAATATCCAATGTGCGCTTGACTTTTCGCAACTGTGTTTTCTTCCTTAGGGGAGAACCAAGGAATGACAACACAACACAGAGTAGTAATCAAAGTGTATTGTCCCAGATACAAAGGGCTACAGGCATGTGCTCAAACCTACAGTATGACTGACTTTCATGGAAAAAACTGAATGCGTGTACCTTCAGATGTTGCAGCAAAATCAGTGTTTCAGTAAAGGTAAGAGAATGCTCTCAATTCATTTACTTTAACAGCTCTGTCTGCAGTAGGAGCTGGGAAAAGTACCATTGCATTTCTCACTGCAAATTAACAGCATGCTCTAAAAGAATAATTATAAAATTAGCCAAATCAAGGGCAGAATCTTCTGCTTACACAAAAAAAAACAGAACTTGCAGTCCACCCACAACAAGAAAACAATTATCTACCTGCAGAAGAATTCCCATAAGTCCAGGTTCTGAATCCTCTGGATGGATTTGATTGGGTGATCCATAGTCCTTTCATACAGTCTGGCGACTTCTTTAAACTCATAGGTGTCTCTTCCGAGCTGGATGAGCTGCAGAATACATGATCGAACATGGGTAAAACAGAACATGCAATGGTGTGTTACAGTGCCAAAGCTTGGTTGGAAAGTAAAACTAAATCATGGAAGACCCCTAAACCACTGCAGAGTGTAAATATGTTTTTTTTGTTAATGCAGAAATAATGTAGAAATTATTCGTGTGTTTTGGGTCTTGTCATAAGGGTTGATTTTTTTTAGTTTTCATGGAACTTGCCAACACATCTTTTAAGAACTAGAATGAATTTTCTCATTTCACTGAGTACACAAGTGTATTTATGTTACTCCTAAATACACTCAGGGTTGGGTTGGTTATGTATACAAAATATTATAATATATATATATATTGCATTTGCATTGATGGAAACCTATGTGTACTAGAATGTGTATGAGTGTGTCTCATTGTTTTCCTTCCCACCAAATTCAATTTGAATTGTCATTCGACCACTCTACTTAAAGTAATCCACCTGAACTCATTAAATACATTGCCTCCTATAAAATGGCACTGACTTTCAGACAGTTCTCAACAAATCTCATCTCTACAGCGTGTTTGGGGTGAATGTCTATAAATATGCTTCTCGAATATCTGCAGGAACTATGTGACATGCGGGAACATTTACAGCTTCTTTTCAATATCAACTTTAAAAGAATCTGTTATCTACTGGGTCAAAATGCTTAAACTGTGGGTTACTTTCTTCACCTGATAGGGCTCATCTGTGTTGATTCTCTCCCAATGACACGGAACAGGCAAGGCAAGATTATCACAAATAAACCTGACGGAACAAGCAGAAGAAAGAGAGCAGTATAAGACAATGTCATTAAAAAAAACAACCCTTATCTAAGATATCTGTGCCTGGTGCAGAGTTCTCTTGCTCTTTTTGGAGATAACAAAGCTCAGGGTCAGCGGCAGGACAGCTCCATGTGGGGCCGGCAGGAATTTAGGCTTATCGTCAAGGATTCCTGATGCTGGCAGAGGCTTGAACCCTGACCTTTCAGTGACATCACGGTGTCCTCACTCACAACTTCATCCCGCTCCCTCTAGCATATTGTCTTTGTAGGATAAAGGGATGAACTGAAACCTAAAGTAAGAAAAAAGTTCTATGGATGTCACCAGATCTTACCTGAAGCCCGTTGCAGAGTGGAGGGAGCGTTTGATTGGCCGCTGCTTCCCCGTCGTGACATTTATCTGCCGCATGACTGGTGAGGAATTTAAGAAAGATCAGAGCCATAGGAACTCATACTCAATTTCATAATTTCTACCACGGGATTAATTATATTTACCATAATCCTTGACTACTTTCCTTTCATTCTTTGCCTGAAGTACCTTTAATATACCTTTAATATCCCCTTACCTGAGAAGTCCAGTCTGTAGGTGTACTTCGCTGTGTAGAATTCCATAACACCTCGCTGGTTTCTGTTGTAGCACTGCTCAATCTGAGCACTCGTCACAGAGCAGGCTGCACTGGGATCAATCTGACAGGAAGAGATGAGTTAGTCTAATGGCGAGCTGAAACAATTAGTCAATCAGTTCGCTACACATACAATTAAGTTGCATCTATTTAGATAATTCATTAATTTAAGAAAAGGCAAACATTTGTTAGTTCCAGCGTCTTTTGTTGCTTTTCTTTGTCTTATCTTACATTGTTTTGGTCCGTTGGTCACACAGAACATCAAACATAATTTGATGTCACATTAGGGTTGGACTAACATGTTGTTTCTCAATTAACTGCTTGGTCAATCACAACATCCTAGAGCACACGGTGGCGTCATCAAATATGTTGATGCAAAACTTAACTCACATTTACAACAAAGCAAGAAGAGAAAAAGTAAGCAAACTCTCACATCTGTGTAGCATTCGGACCTGACAAATAACTTAAATGAGGAATTGATTATCAGCCGACTGATTAATCGACTAATCGCTGCGGCTCCACTCATGTTTCACTCATATGCAAAAGTGATAGCAACCAAATCATTTTATTGACTAGTGGAGCTCAACCAAAGAGGAAGAGCTACTCTGTGCCTGCTCTCTGACTAACATCACACTTACGGCTCACACAATAAAGAGACCCAGGTATCACCGGGGGAGGGGCGATAGAGGGGGGGGTACAGTATCTGGGACTGTTGGTGAAAGTGTACTGTGATGTGTAAAAGTGAGCCACCTCGAACATGTGCCACACTCCACACTCAGCCAAGTAGAACCAGCACCAGTTGGGCTCTGAGGTGTCCATCTCCTCCATCTCAGTGGACTCCTCCTCGGACGACCTGATGGCTAACATGGCTAAATCTGAAATCAAAAGAGAGCGGAGAGAAACACACACACACACTTAGGCGAACAGCAGCCGGAATAACGTGGAAGTACAGCGGGGTCGAGGGGGGGGTTGAGGAGGAGGAGGGAGGGCAAGGTGGTGTTTAATTCGTGTGACGAACCTAACGTCAAGGAGACATGTTTAAGCCCCGGTCGTGAGGGTATTTCATCTTGTAAACAAATTCAAACAATACAGGAAACAGCCACATCCAGCTAGCTATCATTAGCGGCTGCCGCACCCGACTCTCCTCAACTCTGCGGGTGTCTTACCGGTTCTCAGCCTGTCTCTAACTGGCTCCCTGTCCTTATCGGGATATAAATCCTTCATTCATTAGGAATAAATCCCCGCCGGAGTCACGGGCTCGGAGGGAGAGTGGATGACTAATAACGCTACATAACATTCTCGTCTTCCTGTGCGTTGTTTACTTTTATTTCCTGGTTCGTCACGCACGAAACGTCAATGCGTCAGTCAGTGTGATGTGATGTAACGCCTCCAGCCTTTGTGCAGCGCTGTTGCCCCGGGTTTGACCTGTGAGGTGAACCATCTGCACCACGCCCGAAGAGGGGTTTAATTAGGTTGGATTGCGCCCATAGTATGGATCTATAGCATGGATTGTTATGAGGGTATAGAGGGTAGAGTAGTATGTGGGTAGGAACCTGGGTAATAGAAGGACCATGGTAGTTCAACATGTCTCATCTTGCGATTTAGGTTGTATTTGCAATCCACTTTTTTTTTTTTTTACAAAGAGAATATCCTGTACTTGACTCTCGCACTTTACCCTTCAGAAAGTATAAATTATAGTAAATAAAAAATGCAAATGATCATTTTACATGAAAACATCAATCACGCGCTTAAAACCCCAATGCATCAGCGCGCACATCTGTAATAATAATCCTATATAATAATACAACTGACTGACTAAATGGTGCAGCATTGAACTTGCATCGTTTGTTTCTGGAATGCATTGACAGCATTGTGGTGTTGTAGGTTTTGCTTGAAAAAGTCTGCACATTTCTTCCGCAAATCTCTGTATGTTAGTGCGCAGGCGCCGAGAGTACACGCTGTCCCGTTACAGCTGCTCCAGTCGTCGTCTTACTTTTTCTAACTTTTTTTTTTTCATATTGTTTTTATATTACTTTATAATAATAATTAATAAAGTATTTCTGATTCTGATGTTCTAAAGGACAACCTGTGTGTGTGTTTGTGTGTGTGTGTGGTATCCTTTGGGTCAATGTTTAGGACACACCCCCAAAGGTTTTCTTCGAACCTCGCTCAGTCAGTCAAGGGATTTTATTGTCGGAGTCCACTGCAAGCTCACGGGTGAGTTTAATGCATTAAAATCCTTTTTTAAGACGCCAAACATATTTAATTGCATCATTGCGTTTGTTTTTTTGATTTTCCAGTCCTCAGCACAAGTTAGTAGATCATTTATTTGATGCAATTTGCAGTTAATAGCATTTGGGCGTCTGTTTTTGTCAGAGCCTCTTTCATTTTGCATTTATTTAACCAGATGAGGAGACCATAATATACTGCATCTATTAGAATAAATGTGAGAACTATCAACGTGTAAATGTAAAAAAATATATATATATATATCTTTATTATGTGTGCATACAACAGACTGAGAGACCATGATTCAAGAAACAGCCAGAGGGGCCCCTGGTGGAGACCCCAAGCCAGATAACGGGATTCCTGGGGAAAGGGTTCAGCAGAGGGGGAAATGGGCCAGCAAATCTGAGTTCTTATTCTCCATGGCTGGAGAAATCATTGGCCTGGGAAATGTATGGCGTTTTCCATATCTGTGCTACAAGAATGGAGGAGGTGAGGGATCGGGTTTGGATGTATGGTGGATTTTTGTTGGATTTCATATTGAAATCAGCGGAGGCTGAGTAAAAACACTGCAGATAGTTTGAAAATATGTGCACAGGAAGGGCTTCCATTGTTATAACCATAATAAACATTTCATAGTGTACTGTTTTAGCTTGTCCAGACAAGTCGAATGGATAATGCCATTAAAATGTCATTCATTACAACTCCTCCCACTGAGGAAGTTTCATAATCCACCTTTAATATGTGGAGGTTTTGTGGCTTAATATGTGTTTATCTGTCAGTGTGTGGCATGCCAACATTTGTGGAGCTCTCTTGCTTTACGCCACAAACATGTGACTCTTCTTTATGGGTGTCTATATTTGCAGGTGTCTTTTTCATCCCTTACTTTGTGTTCCTCTTCTTCTGTGGTATCCCTGTGTTCTTCCTGGAGACGGCGTTGGGCCAGTATACCAGTGAAGGCGGGGTGACCGCCTGGAGGAAGATATGCCCCATGTTTGAGGGTAAAAACAAAGCTCAGACAGACTTTCGTTGAATTACACAAGACCGGAGGAAGAGTCAGCTGACGAGCAGGAAAATGTTCAATGTCCTTTGTTTGCATGCTGGTACTAAAGAAATACATTTTTAATGTTTCTAACCATATCTAATGAAACAAAAAGACCACATTTATTCTTTTATATTGTCTTGTAGAGATGTTTTCTGTCTTTTGCAACAATAGTTCATCCTCTTTCAAGCTTGTTTTCTCCAATACTTAAATTCACACAGCTCTAAAACAAGGGCAGGGTATACATTAAAATAAATGCTATGTGGAAGGGAACATTTCATTGATTGTGGCCAGTGCTGTAAACTTTCACTAACTGTGTGAAAAATGTGTCCTGCAGGGTTGGGGATAGCATCCCAAGTGATTGTGGTCTATCTGAATATCTACTACATCGTGGTGTTGGCCTGGGCTATCTTTTACCTGTGTAACTCGTTCCAAAGCCCACTGCCTTGGTCCACATGTGACAACTGGTGGAACACTGGTGAGAACTGTTTTGTGACAAATCAGTGCTGACTTGTTTAAACACGTTTGTATTTGATTAACAGTGTGTCTGTTGCTTTCTTATAGGCTTCAACAGGAATTCTCCCACGCATTGTAACATTTTAAAGTTTACAACATCCGACTCACCTTCTTTTCTCTTTCCTCAACCTCTTAGAGTCATGTCACAGTACCCTATCCATATTTGCCAACCCCCATTTGTTTAAACTTGACTCCAACTGGTCATTCCTAAACAACTACACCACATCTGACTACTCTGAGAACCTCACTTTTCTGTAAGTTGCAATCAAGCTTTACCATCCTAACTATCACAACTTCTAACTGTGTGACACCTACTGAATGCACAGCGGGAAGTCATCATATTAATGTAATACATAAAAAGAAATGATAAGAAATAAGAGATGAATCTTGGCTTCCATAGCTGCAGCAGCTTTGGGACACACCCATGCTTTTATGTGTTCAGAGCAGGAGGTTCTTACATCTGTTACTGTAATAAAAACATTATTAATTGCTGCCTTGGGACAGTTTGGAGGTGAAACGTACACTGAATAAACAGGACTTATCAGACCTTAGTTTAATAGT